CTGCCTACTTTCCGTCGGCCTTGGGGATTCCAATCCAGCGCTGTCCTGGCAATGTCATTTGGCGGTCTACGGAGTGTGTGGCCCAGCCATCTCCATTTTCTTCGCCTTATTTGCTTTATGACATTTTCTTGGTTGCTTTGGTTCCATAAATTTTCATTGGAGATTCGGTTAGGCCAAAATATATGAAGGATTTTTCGTAACGCTCTATTAATAAAAACTTGTAATTGGTGTACTATGGGTGCTGATATCTTCCACGTTTCGCATCCATACAGTAATACAGCTTTTCATTTGTGTTGAAGATTTTTAATTTCGTTTTAGTTGGGTAAATCCTGGATTTCCATATGTTGTTAAGCATGTTGTAGGCGTTGCGAGCCTTATTTATTCTTTTATGTACATCACGCTTTGTACCCCCATTACAGTCAATTATGCTACCCAGATATACAAATTCCGCTACTCTCTCAATTTTCTGGTCGTTTATCATAATATGTTGGTTGTTTCTGGTACCAAATCGCATTTCTTTGGTTTTGTTGATGTTTATTTCTAGACCACCCTTCTTTAATTCTTCTTGTACTTTGTTTACTTGAAGTTGCATGTCCTGTTACATGCGCTAGGAGGCATATATCATCAGCGTAATCTAGGTCTTCCAGTCTGTTTGTTAATCCTCAGTAAATTCCTCTATTAGAGTTTACCTTTGTTAGGACGGAGTCCAGTACAATGTTAAATAGTATGGGGGATAAAACACAGCCCTGCTTTACTCCGTTTAGCATAGCTATTGGGTCAGATGTTATGCCGTTGTGTAGGATTTTGCTTTCTGTGTCACTGTAGAGTTATTTGATGAGATTTACTATTTTTTCTGATATTCCTATTTCCTGCAGTGCTTTCCATATGGTCGTATGTGTGAGCGTGTCAAAAGCTCTCTTGAAGTCAACAAAGCACACAAAGAGAGGAGAGTTGAATTCCTGTGACTGTTCTACAATTATTCTTAGTGTGTTAATTTGGTCCACGCATGATCTGTTTGGTCTGAAACCGGCTTGTTCCTTCCTCAACATTGATTCTACACTATTTGTTAGTCGGTTGTTTATAATTATTGCTGTTAATTTATTTATAGTATTCAGAAGTGTGATTCCTCTCCAGTTTTCGCAATATCTGCTGTCACCCTTTTTTGGTATCTTTATTATTAATCCCGTTTTCCATTCTTTGGGGAACTTTTCCTCTCTCCAAGCCTTTTCAAGAGTGGTTGGATTAGCTCTTCCACTGTACCTGGGCAAGCTTTTAACAACTCTGGTGGAATATTGTCAGGGCCGGCTGCTTTGTGCGCTTTCAGTTTTTCTATGGCCATTTCTATTTCTTGCGTTGTTGGTTCGTTGGTGTTAATTCTCAGTTGGATATTGGGTATTAGATTTTCTGCGTCTTCTGGTGGTGTTGGGACTGCATTTAGAGATTCGCTAAAATATTTATGCCATCTTTTGACTTGTTCCAGTAGCGCTGTTATATTTTCACCTGTAGCACTTTTTACAATTGGTTGGTGGGTAGTATATCTTTTATTGGCTAGTTGTTTAGTGATATTATATAATTGTCTCATGTTTTGATGTTCATCGGCGACTCGCGCTTCTTCGGCAAGATTTTCTGCCTACTTTCTTTTGTCTTTCTTTGCTGCCTTCTTTACAGCTTTATTCGCTTCTCTATAACTTTCTCTAAGTCGGTTCTTGTCTGCTGCTGTCTTGGAATTTAGTAATTCTAGATTAATGTGTTTGCGACGTTCTATTTTGTTCCACGTTTCTCTCGTAATCCACTCTTTCTTTACGTCTTTCTTTAGGCCCAGCACGTTTTCACTTGTTTCCACAAGGGCTTTGCTAATCGTTTTCAAATTTTTGTCCTGTCTTTCGTCGATTTTGGATCTCAGCTGTCGTGCGAATTCTACTTTCGTCTCGTTATTTTGTAGTTTCTCAATGTTGAACTTTTTTCGAATAGGTTTGTTCAGTTCTTTTCTATTCCTAGCTATTTTAAATCTAATTTCGACCATCATCAGGTAGTGATCACTGGCCGCATCTGCGCCTCTCCATGATCTGACATCTAAGAGATATGTTCTCCATTGCTTACTGATTGCAACGTGGTCGACTTGATTGTAGGTGCGGTTATCTGGCGATTTTCATGATACGTTGTGGATTGTTTTATGTGGGAACAAAGTCCCTCCAATTATTAGGTCATGGTTACCACATAATTCAATTAAGCGTTCGCCGTTGTTGTTTCTCTGGCCAGTGCCATGCTTTCCGATAACGTATCCTAGGTTGGTGTTGTCAGTGCCAACCTTATCATTGAAGTCTCACTTTTATATCGGATCTTTTAATTTGTTTTAATGTTGCTTCAAGGCATTCGTAGAAATCCTCTTTTTCTTGTTCTGTTGCTTGTTCTGTTGGTGCATAGCACTGAATCAGTATTACCAGACTTAATTTGGTCCTAATTCTTGCAGTAATTATTCGCTCTGAAACTGGTTTTCATTCCACAAGAGAATTTTTTGTGACTTTAATAAATAGAATTCCTACTCCATTTTCATGTCTTCCGCCATCTGTTTTACCAGAGTATATCAGCAGGTCGCCTTCCATGTTGACGTGCTCTCCCGTCCCATTCCACCGTGTCTCACTGAGACCTAGTATATCGACTTTATATGCTTTCATCTCTCTACAAATTTGGGCAAGGCGTGATGCTTGCATCATAGTTTTTATGTTCCAATATCCGATTCTTGTCCGTTTACGTAAGCCGAAGGTCGTTATCAAAGGATCCGTCCGGTTATTCTCTGTAGAAGTTTCGAAAATCTAGTAATTTGAGGCGGATAGGTGATTGGCCTCTCGCGCCCGATTCTGATGCCGAGGCTGCCAGCTCTAGCCATCAGACTGGCCTCAGGAATTCCTGGAATGGGACCATGACATTTTCTTCATGTTTATGGTACTAAGGTTATACCGCCTATACTCGGTCGTCAGAGCCTAGTTGGTTATTTAGCAGGGTGCACCGTGTAACCATTTGTTACCGCTCGAGCAGGTGAGGTTGACATTTGGGTCATGATGTTATCGATGTTGGTTTGACCCTTACACCCCATATTTTTTTTTTATTTAAAAAAAAATATTTTTTTATACTTACTATAAATAGTTTAATACTAAGCAAAGATCCTTACGAAATTCCCTTAAAGCATTTTGGAGTACTCCTTGCCAGCTTAAATTTAAATAATTGATCGGTTAAAAAAAGATAAATATGTATAAATTTAACTTTAAGATTAGGTTTAGAGAGTTTTTGAGTATGGAAGATTTTCTTTTAATATTAAAAATAGCAGCAATTGCTGTTTCTTAGATAACGAGTGTGCAATATAGGTTGGACGAGTTACCAGATTGTCCCAGATATCTGAAACCGAAATACGCTTTATTGATGATATTATGTTTTTCTAGGTACTATGTTTATCTAATATTTATCACTTTTTAAAGAATTTTCAGGGTATACAAGTGAAAAATTATGTTGTATGTTCAGGCTTCCTAACTGGTATAATAAACGATTGTGAGCAAAAGCTCAGGGAAGCTTGTGGATATCCATATTTGATTTTGTTTGACTAACTGTTTTATACGACATAATTTTATATAATATATCCATTGATGGGTTACTTAGAAGTAGAAACTGTTATTAGTTTTATTTTCAGCCTTTTTTAGTCCATTTTTTACATATACCTCCCGCATCCATCTTTATCCTGAGCAACATACTCCCAGTTTGCTTCGGCTATTCTTTTATGTCTTCTACCCATCTCATCCGTGGTATTCTCCTTGGTCGTCTGGCAGTGTGTTGTTCCTCTTTTTGTCTAAAAGTCGTATACCCAACCATTGCCCTTTCTGCTGTGACTAGTTTATTTATATTGTAACGAATATTTTGCCTACCAGATAGGGTATTACTATAAGGGGTTGAAAATTGAGGACAGAAATTATTGAGGTGGAGATAGGGCAAGCAAAACAAACCGAAACGTTGCGAACGACTACTCAGGGTTTATTTGGAGAACTCGGTCGTCAATAAGTGAATGACAAGATGGGATTGGATTCAAGCAACTACAAAAAGTAAAGCAAAAAGGGTAATTACATGAGTCTCCTGGACAAACCAAAATGGCATTAAACAATAATAAAGTTGACTATGACAGTCAAACAATGATTTTCCAACTACTGGGTGAAAATCAAACTACACAAATAATAAGAAAAACAGGATGGCTAATAGTTCCGTAAGAATATCTTCTGGGTACGAACACAGTGAAGAATTTTCAAGTCAGAAAACTCCCAGAAGGACAAAAGAAAAACATAAATCCAAAATGGTAATACACAATATGGGAAAAGAAGAAAAAAAGAGGGACATGGCATACAAGCCATAATCGATATATAAACAGTTCAGTCTCAAGCTAATACTTCCAGAAGAAACAAAAAAACGTAACAGTCTTCCAAAGAAACAAAAAAGTTACGACGTCCTTCAGAGGAACAGAAAAATCTCTACAATCTTCCAAAGGAACTAAAAAAATATTACAATCCGTTGTCAATGATCTAACTTTCAACTTGGTACACAAACTTCATGGCACAAAGACTAAAGAAGAATGTTCATTATCTAAATCACAAAGAAATGTTCACCATTCTTCAGCAAAATTTGAACCGAATCACGTTAATACAACACTTTGAATTCAAGTGGGTCATTTAACAATAGTACTAAAACTATCTCAGCTGTTAAACGGACGTGGTCTCACAGTCGACATACAGATAGGCTTCGGCCAAGTACTGTCACCTCAGCATATCAAAGCATCACAATGGACAATGCAAGTGTTTTTACCTTCGCATCTACCAAATCATGAACATCACATCACAAACACAATAACACAAAGGAAAGCTACTGGCACTTAGTCAAAAGTCTAACATCAGCAGTCAGAAAAGCCTAACCATTCTATTTGCAACATCTGACCACACGAAGAGACGGAACTAACAGAGAGAAGAAACATAACAATACTGTTGCTCTATATTCTTAACAAATCGGCCTTAGCCATGGACATACGAAGTCATATCATTATTTCCTTTTACTAATAAAACAAAAGACAACACGGACAAAACGCAGACTGTAAAACAGAAAATATTTTCTTTTTCAGGGAATAAAAATCTTTTCACCTAGTACCCGTACACGGTTTCTGTGACAAAAATCTAAATATTGCGCTGAGACTGAGGTTTGTTGAATGTTACGTCTGGTCGCAACTATTGTACGGGGTAGAAACATGGACACTAAAAGCGCAAATAGTTAAAAAGATTGAAGCCTTTGAACTTTGGATATACCGGAGAATGTTGAGAATCCCATGGACTGCCAGGGTCACCAATGAGGAAGTGCTGAGAAGAATGGGTCGAGTCAAAAAATTGTTGAGAACGATAAAAGTACGCAAGACTGCATACCTTGGACACATACTAAGAAATAATAAATATAGTCTTCTGCAGGTCATCATGCAGGGTAGAGTCGATGGCAAAAAGGGAATAGGTAGAAAGAGGAAGTCATGGCTGCGAAATATTCGAGACTGGACAAACATGACTGTAGACGAATTATTCCACGTTGCAAAAGACAGAGAAGCTTTCAAAAATGTGGTCGCCAACCTCCGTTAATGGGGACGGCATAGGAAGAAGAAGAAGTACCCGTACTAAAATTTTCCTCACACTACCTAGGCTATTGGAACAAATTAATTTATTACAACTCTCGTATATCTGTCTGACGAATTATATTCATAGGTTTCAGAACGAGCAACAACGACACAAAACATTACCATTTAAAGCAGCTAAAATTTTGGAACTAAAATCTATATATATCTCTCACGAAAAAAATTTACCTATATTTTTGTACGGAATTGGGTCACCGAAATTTCTCAGATAAACTTATATAAACACAAGGGAAGGTCAAGAATTACATACGAAATAAATGATTTAAAATCAAACAATATTCATTTCTCACATATGGGATGTTTATTTAATAACGAAATACAAATAAACAGAGACCAATATCGTTCACCTTCAAAATACCGACAAATCAAAAATTCCCATTACTTGGTTTATAAGAATAAAAATACGACGAGAACATTTTTACATAATTTTACAAAGACTGAACATTAAAAATAAAACGAAGATTAAGAAAAAATTGGAAATTAGTAGCAGTTTACTTGGGGTAGACTTGATTTCACGAAAATTGACTAAAAGCAAACACACAAAATAACTGAAAAAATAAATGGTTCAAAACACAGAATCAACAAACTACACATACAGGGCGAGACAAAATACTAATGATATTGAAAACTTCTTGAGTGAGCTGCACAAAATAACACAAAATTAATCAATCCTTATTCTAAAAACTTAATAAGACTGCTTCTACGCGAAATTAAACAACATCTCCAATCACAAGTATTACACTTGTGGTAATTCAGATACAAAACAGGAAATACAAAACAGTCTGCTACGGCGTCTAAACTCGTTCAAAATCTCCAACTAACCCGTTGCATAAGAAACACCATCAAAGAGAGCGTGAAGAAACAAATGGCAAAACACAACTAGACAACTACACAGCTCAAACAAAAGTCACTCTAACAATACACACATTTACTCAAAATGACCGAACAAACAAAATTACAAAATCTGCTTATTCTGAAAAGCCTGTCAAATAAATCAAAAATAAATCCAAATAATAACGGTACTAAACAATACTGTTATAACTTTAAAATCATTTTAATATCACACTTCAGTTAAAATTCTTATGTCAATATTTAATCTTAAAATATTTGTTTTAAATACCAATACATATTAACTCTATATTTCATAGCCTATATACAAACATTTCTACAGTACGTTGCGAATGGCTACTCAGGGTTTATTTGGAGAACTGGGTCGTGAATAAGTGAATGACAAGATGGGATTGGATTGGGGCACCTACAACAAATAAAGGAAAAGGGGTACTTACATGAGTCTCCTGGACATAACAAACACAAGAAGGTTCTCAAGCTATTTAAAATGTACGCTGCTTAAAATAATCTTTCTGTTGGATGGAAGAAGAGGCTCTTCCTTTCTAAAAACACAAAAAGGGGTTAAAAACTTTTTTTTAAAGAAATAAAAAAACTGGTTTAGGAAAAAAAATAATATTTATTTTTATGTCACCACAAAGAGTTACAAATATAAACAATAACAATAAAATACAAAATATCAAAAACAAACTTTTTACTTTACTATAAGTTTACAACTCTTGAAGTTAAAGATACTATGAGAACTTAAAATTGTTAATGGGCGACAATTTGTAACGGAAAAATTAGAAATGAAAAATAGCTTTTTAAATGGAACTATGCATAGAGGTTGACCTTTTTTAAAAAACAAAGAATTCAAAGATCTTAATTTATGATTAGGTATTTACTAAATGTCAAAAATAAACCTAGCTGTCAGATGTCATCACTAAATTTTAAAACTTGGGAACAATTAATATGACAGCTAGACCACACTCTAACATTTATAATTTTAATTATTACAATTTCTTAACCTGTTATAAAAGCAATTATTTAATAAAATAGATTAAAATATATGTGGTTACAAGTTACAAATGTTATAATGTTTATGACTAAAAAAAATGAATGACAAATGAAAAACTGTTTATTTTTACATGAAAAAAATTTAACTAAAAAATGATACCTGATATCACTCAATGTTATTTTTTTTCCTTTATAATTTCTGAGGTTGGAACTGGATAGATTCAACTGCCATACAAAAACTTGTACAAACAAAATGAGGATGGAAGCTGTTCTGGAACGCAAAATTTGACACTCGGCTTCTTAAAAAGTCAACAATGGAACATTTGGGTATCTTTTAAATTTGTTGAAAAAACTTCGTTTTACAAATATTTCAAATGAGAGATGGCATAGAAATAAAAAACACTGATTACTGTTATCATACTTAGAAATAAGATTTTAGAGAATTCAAATAGCAATAAACAATTGTGGAGTGTAGTGCAAGATCTTAGTGGTACTAAAAAAGGAAAAATGCCTATCGACAGTCTTAAAAACCAAATGGGAAAGATATTGACTTATCCCTCCGATATTGCAAATGAATTTAATAAGACGTTTTCGGAGATGGGCAAAATATTGGCTGAACAAATCATTAGCAACTCCCGCCAGGTATATGATAATACCTCCTTGGCAAACTCAATGGTTTTACTACCTACAAATACATTTGAAATGAAATCAATAATAAATCAACTGAAAAGTAAAAAGGCAACTGGCATTGACGATATTAATTCAGAATGTTTGAAAACAATTTCACCATACAAAGTCGAACCATTGGTTCACATTTTCAATATATGTATGGAAGAAGGAATATGGCCCAAAGCCTTCAAAACAGCAGTAGTCATACCAATATACAAAAGTGAAGACAAAACTCTTGCTTTAAACTACCGACCTATATCGCTTATTCCACACATGTCTAAAATATTTGAATTATTACTTAATAATAGACTTACAGCATACATCAAAAAGTATAATTTAATTTCTGCTAACCAATTTGGTTTTAAGCTAAATACTTCTACACAAGATGCCGTCTTGAATCTAACATCAAAAGTGTATGAAGCTCTCAATAATAATAAAGTTTGCTTATGTGTATTTCTAGATTTGGCCAAAGCTTTTGATACTGTCAGTCATAGTAAACTCTTACAAACCT